CTTGACACCCCTTTACCGAAGAAAAGAACATTCTTAGGTAAAATTATGAGGAACGCAGGAAGACTCGCCTTCAGAGGAGCAGGGAACGGATACTACTATTCCTGTACATTAAATTACACAAGACGTGAAAAGCCTCAAGAGTGGAAAGGCTACCAGAATTTATGAAATCAGCCCTAAAATGCTCAAGGCATTAGATGAACAATGCGTGTGCTGACTTAATTAATGACGTATGTCAAACTGAAATGGCTAATGGAAAAATACCAGGGACTGGAAAAAAGAGGTTGTTGTACATCTGTTCAAGAAAGGAGACAACTGGGAGTGCTCCAATTATCGGGGCATTACGTTTCTGAGCCTGCAAAGGTGTAGAAAGTAGGTCAGCGGAATAAATGACTTCAAGATACAAGTGCAGAGTGGTTTCCGGCACAGTCGAACCATCTCTGACCAAATATTTGCCCTACATCAGATAGTTGAGAAATCGTGGCAGTTCGCCCATCCGGTATACTTGCGGATAGCAAATACTGCGTTAATGAACATGGCACTAACTCGAAACCTCCCAGCGCTGGCACTGGTTTCCGCCAAGGCCACGTCCTGCCCCCTCACCTCTTTGCGTTGAACATTCATAGAGTAGTCAGGAGCATCAAAGGCGACGAATGTAACGGCGTAACAAGAGATGAGAAGGTTGCTGTTTGCAGACTAACTTGTTTTATTCGCATCTTCTCAAAGTGACCTACAGCACTCACTAGACACAATCGCAGCCGAGTTCAACGTAGCTGCCATGCGTGCTAGCATATGTGAAACGAAAACCGTTGTTTTTTCTCGTTCAGCTGCAGGTCGTCTGTGGAGCAGGTCAGAAGTACAAGTACCTCCGACGTGTTTACTAGTAATGGAAAATTTGAGGAAGTTATAAGCGGTTTGGAATAGGCAGTGGCAGTCCTAACCGTTTTGACTAAAGCAGAAATGAGTCCAGCCTTATCTATCGGAGTTATACTGATCATGTAGGCTCTTTATCGCTTAAAAATAGCAGTAAGTATCATCTACTATAGCAAAGTAAACATGATCTGATGCTTCTTGATTTGCAATAAATACTAAAGGCAAACGTGATTTGACATTTAAATAGGTTTTAGAAGATAAAAGAAATAAAAGAGAAGCGAATAAGAGAATGTGGCATGTAATTAGCATTCTTCATCGTACCAAGTGAAACACTTGGCTTTTATAAACACGGTTCTTTAAGTGACAAATACTGAACCACAAGGAATGTTCGATTACAGTTTTATCGTAGCCCTAAAAAAAGTAACGTATCGATTCGGTCATCGATCAAAGCAAACTGAACGGCAAAGGCAATGATGTACCTATACACTTAAAACAAGCTCCTAGCAAAATGATCGTTTTTGATTTCATCCGTAGGATTAACAATCGCCGGAGGGACATGGCTGAAGAGACCTCTGAAGTAGGTCATGACTTAATGATATTTGAGGACCTGTAGATGTGGACACAAGATTGAGTCATAACAAAATTGTACGGTTTCGTATTAATGCAATGTATTTGCCATATTAATACAGCACTGTTATCCACTTGGTCATTTTTGTAGATTTTAAGAAACAAGGAGACTATGCTATGTAATTATATGAGAAGTGATCGTGATAGCGGTTAGTAAGTAATGTATATGATACCCTTCTCTTACGAACAGACCGATGAATATGAAAAAGCAAAATCGAACTGTTTTTCGTTGTATGAACAGAAGAAACGTTTCGTACATGCTGACTCAATCAAAGCTGTCTCAAAAGCTGAGGTAATAAAAACTCTCGACCACTGAGAATAACTACAGTAAAACATGCCACATGACAACGCTTTTCTTGAGCCAACAATAGTCGCATGAACAAACTTCAGCTTACCTCGTATCTACAGTCAGTCTTAAATCTAGGCCAACGTTTTTAGCTTCAGGAACGAACTGCTTTTCGATCTTCACTGGTCGAACGACTGCGCATCTCGTCCTGCGAAGTCCATAATTCTGCAGGA